TAGGGAAAAAAGTGTACAGTGTGTGCCGAACTAAATATTCTGAATTGAATCATAAGATAGTTTTTGGAAGCTAGAGTTCTCCAGAGTTCCAGATTTTATTGCCAGAGTAGTGATGAAAGCAGTTTACTCATCTTCAAATTATGTAATATTCTGTAATTTTGAATTCTCTCTAAAAGTCTTCAAAGAGCCAATGCTGCTAAGAAAAGCCAGACAACACATTCCTTATTGCTTTGCTCATTTCGAAAGTTTTGTTGACCGCCTCCCATCAAGTGCTCCTAGCTCCTATGCCTGGGATGGATGACCCCAGTCTCAGGCACGGATGCCCACCTGCCTCCCACCTGCCAACCTCCAGACCAAAGAAGCATACTTTCTAGCTAGAGAGATGAATATTAAATAATGAATATGTTTGTTTTTATTTGTTTAAAGTTTATTTTCATTGTATTGAGGTTTTCCTTTAAATTACCGAACACATATGTCATTTTTAAAACTTACAAATAACGTGCTGCCAAGGAGACAACCTGCCAAGGTACTGGGAGTCAGTAGAGCAGAGAGAATTGGGCATAAACTGGGTGTCATACAGCTCAGGAACAGTTAAGTGGGTGAGATTCTAAGAAACAACACTACAGAGAGCACGGAACCATGGTGCCCAAGGACTCCACCTACACTGTAAGTGCAGACATGACTCTCTGAGCAACTAAGATGGTATTTTCCATCACCAAGGCAATCAATATTTATGATACTTCATGGACATGTTGCAAAATACATCTCAGATTTTGAAAAGTTGGCAAAAACAATTGAGGATCAGTCATTTAAGAATTAGGAGTATATTAGTCCATTTTCATACTACTATAAAGAACCGCCCAAGACTGGGTAATTTAAAAAGAAAAGAGGTTTAATTGACTCACATTTCATCATGGCAGAGGAGACCTCAGAAAACTTACAATCATGGCCCAAGGTGAAGGGAGCAAGGCACCTGCCTCACAAGGGGGCAGGAAGAAGAAGTGAGCCCAGAAGGAACTACCAGGCACTTATAAAACCATCAGATCTCATGAGAACTCACTCATTATCATGAGAACGGCATGAGGGAAACCAACCCCATGATTCATTTACCTCCACCTGGTCTCTCCCTTGACATGTGGGGATTATGGGGATTACAATTCAAAATAAGATTTTGGGTGAAGAAACAGCCAAACCATATCAAGGAGGAAAGATACATTCATGCATCTCCTTGGTATTTTTTACATTTAGGTTGTTCTTTGGAATGATCTGGATTTGAATGACATGCTATTTATATTTGGCTATCTTAATTATTCAAAGATGAACTAAGGAAATGCTTTTATTGGATAAGGGAATGGAGGAAGGAGGCAACTGAAAATTTTAAGAGTCTGAAAACAAAACAAAACAAAACAAAACAAAACAAAACAAAACAAAACAAATGAAGCCAAACTTACACTCAGCATAAAAAGTCATTCAATTCTTTTCTTTCAAGGTGTATTTGGAATCTATTTATTGAGGTTAATAGCTAACCCATAGGGTGTCAGTGGACACAAAACAGTCAAGGTGCCTGGAATTTGGATTTTGGTGGCAAAACATAGTCAATAAAGAAATACATGAGAAAATAAGGTGAGTTCAGGGAGTGTGAAATATCATGATTTTGATAATTATACTATAAAATGCAGGCACAAAAGATGTGTATCCCTCATTCCTTCAATACATCCTGAGAGATAATCCCTGGTAAATTAGGGCTTTCATGTCCTTTTTTTTCTTTCCTTTTTTTTGTTTTCTGGAGGCAGCCAAAAGGCATGGCCAGAGCCTGAGCAGGATAAATATCTTCCTCTTTTAAAAGCTCCACAATCCCCTACAGACCTAAAACCAATCCCCAGTGCTCTTACAGGAAGAGAGATGCACAGTAAACATGGAAACAGGTACTAAAAGCCAAGGTGTGCCAGGAAGCACCAGGAGCTAAGCAAGAGGCGGTGAACACGTTCTTCCCCAGAGCCTCCTAAGGAGCCAACTTTGCTGACATTTGATTTTGGACTGCTGGACTCCACTATTGTAAGTGAATAAGTTTCTGTTCATTTAAGACATCAGTCTATGGTAGTTTGTTAGGGTGGCTCTAGAAAATTTATGCACTAACTCATTGGAAATAACTTTAACATTAAATAGACATCATTCTGGAAAAAAAAAAAATATATATATATGTAATATACATTTATAAGCAAAATTCCAGATGTGTTATCATATCATATATCCACAGCATATATGGATATGTAACCCATATATATCATTCCCGATGGATAGATAGGTACAGATATGTACTGACAGACGGTTAGATTGACAGAAATATTTCCCTTATAATGGGGGTAATTCTACATTAGATGTGAGAATTAGATTAGATTCTACATTAGATTCTACATTAAATGTGATTTTATTCGAGGGTATCTGAAGAAAAAGATTAGATCTATCTTCTATTGCACTGTTTTCCTGTTTTTGTGGTAAAATCTTGTTGTTCAGTTTATTCAATTTTTCATAGGGCAAACCCTTACTATTTGCTATGGTGTAAATGTTTGTGTCTCCTCTCAAATCCAGATGTTGAAATCTAACCATGAATGTGATGGTATTAGGAGGTGGGGCTGTTGGGAGATGCGGGTACGAGGAGGCGGGGCTGCTGGAAGATGGTGGTACTAGGAGCTGGGGCTGCTGGCTCTCCCCTCATGAATTGGATTAGCTCCTATCTTAGTCCATTCAGGCTTCTACAACAAACTACCTCAAACTGGGTCTTTTATAACCAGCAAAAATTTACTGCTTACAGTTCCAGGGGGTGGGGTGGAGGCGGTGAGTCCAAGATTAAGGCACTGGTAGATTCAGTGTCTGGTGAGGCCTCACTCTTTGTTTCATAGATGACTCCTTCTTTCTTTATCTTCATGTGGTAAAGAAGGGGTGAACAAGCTTCCTTTGGCCTTTTTTATAAGTTCACTGCTATGGCTTAAATGTATATGTCTCTCTAAAATTCTTAGGTTGTAGCCTAATATCTACTGTAATGACATTAAAAGTTGAAGCCATTTGGTAAGTGATTAAGAAATGAGGCTCCACACTCTTGAATGAGATTAGTATTCTTACAGAAGACGTTGACAGGAGTGTCCTAGTCGCCCCCACTTTTTTATTTTTGTTTTGCCCTTTTGCCTTCCATCCCTTCCCTCATGAGAGGGCACAGTGTTTGTTGCCTTCTGTGGACCCAGCAAAAAGGCACTGTCCTGGAAGCAGAGAGCAAGCCCTTATCAGACACTGAATCTGCTGGTACCTTTATTTTGGACTTCCTAGCCTTTAGAACTCTGAGAAATAGTGTCTATTATTTATAAATCACTCAGTCTAAAGTATTCTATTATAGCAGTGGGAATGGATTGAGATAGGCACTAATTTCAGTGATGAGGTTAGAGCCCTCATAACATAATCAATGTCCCAAAGCCCCAACTTTTAATACTATTGCACTGGTGATTAGGTTTCAATATATTAATTTGAGAGGACACAAATTTTCAGACCCTAGAAGTGCCATTAAAAGAGCTCAGAGAGCTAGCTCGCCCCTTCTATCATGTGAGGACACAGTGAGTAGGTGCCTTCTGTGAGTCATCTGTGAATCTCTGGGTCTTCACCGGAGATCAGATCAGCTGGCACCTGGATCTTGGATTTCCAACCTTAAGAACTGTGATAAATAAATTTGTTGTTTATAAGCTGCCTAGTTTATGGTATTTTGTTATAGCAGTCCACACAGACTGAATACACTGTTCTTCTTTGTTTCCAGGTTTTCTTGATTATTCATTACGTGATCTTCCACATAAAACTTTAAATTATTTAATTAGTTTTAAGACACCTATCACCAAGAGAATTTGGGACTCTCATGAGAATTGCACTAATTTTGTAATTTGAGTTGGGAAGAATTGGCAATATTTTTGATACTAACTACTCATCTAAGAATACAGCATGTTTTACATTTACTAGGGCCTTATTACTGCCTTTTCAGTAAAGGTTTATCATAAAGATTGTGTAACTTGTTAAAGTTTATTCCTAAATGTTTTATGGTTTCTGTTGCCATTGTGGAGAAAATGTTATTTCATTTTTAATAGGTTTTTGCTTATTCAAAGGAACAATTTTAATTTTTCTATTTAGTTAAGCTTTATTATTTATTTATTATTTTAAAATTATTTTAAAATTGAGGCACCAAGATTTTCAAGGGTTCCTGTCATCTGCAAATATTAATGTTGCCTTTTCCTTTTGGGGCGTAACAGTGATACACAGTTTGTTGTACCACATAGGGATGAGGCTTTTGTCCATAGTGTTGAGAAGAGCTTGCTAGTTATGTGTAAGGGCTTTGCACAATATGACGTAGGTGCACGTTCCTGCCCTGTCACCTACTAGTTGTGTGACCCTTATTTAATCTCTGTGGACCTCAGGGTCCTCATCTCTGAAACGGGGTTGATAGTAGTACTTATTTCAGAATTGAAAGAATTAAACACTTGTTAACACATTAAAGCATTTAGAACGCACATTAAGCCCTATAGTAAGCATTAGATTCCATTCATCAAAACCTGCTGCATACCTGAGCTCCTTCAAGTCTCATAAGCACTTCAGAAACTGTGCTATCTCCATTTTATGAATGAGGAAACTAAGCTTAAGGCAGCAAGTGATCAGCGCAGGGTCACTTGTATATACATTTTAGGGCTGCCCCACAAGACCAGCTCCTAGAAAATAATGCAATCGATCAACTTCTGCGAAGCGGGACTTACTTAAATCACACTAAAAGGTGTTTAATTCGTTCAACATGGCGTTGGCATTTTACCAGGAAGGGAAAAAAAAGTACACTGAGGCAAAAGTCAGCGTCTCCCATTTATTGCATCTCAGGCTTCCGCCAAAACTGACGGAAAAAAACGAGTGCGCTCGGAAGCGCCCGCCTGCATTCGGCAAAAATCGTCAGGGGGCGGGGCCCACGCTTCGGCACGTTCCGCGCAGGGTATTGTGGGAAGGGCGGCCGGTGCAGCCGTAGCTGCCATCTTAGGGTCGCCTTGCGCTGCGGGTTTCTCGTTGGAGGCGGCCTTCGTAGCGACTGTAGACGTCGGGAAAGGGCACAAAGTCCGCTGTCCAACAGCTTTCCTTCCTCTGGCCTCGGTGGGACCTCCAGCCCGCGTCCGAAGGCGGAGGCGAGGGGAACCGGCCGCGTGAGGGGCCTGAGGCCAGCGGTGGTTAGTCAGAGCGTCGCCCGGAAGGATGGGCCGGTCTCGGAGCCGGAGCTCGTCCCGCTCCAAGCACACCAAAAGCAGCAAGCACAACAAGAAGCGCAGCCGGTCCCGGTCGCGATCCCGGGACAAGGAGCGCGTACGGAAGCGCTCCAAATCTCGGGAAAGTAAACGGAACCGGCGGCGGGAGTCGCGGTCCCGCTCGCGCTCCACCAACACGGCCGTGTCCCGGCGCGAGCGGGACCGGGAGCGCGCCTCGTCCCCGCCCGACCGCATCGACATCTTCGGGCGCACGGTGAGCAAGCGCAGCAGCCTGGATGAGAAGCAGAAGCGAGAGGAGGAGGAGAAGAAAGCGGAGTTCGAGCGGCAGCGAAAAATGTGAGTGTCCGCGGTGGGAGGGGCCGGGGCGGCGCGGCGCGGGCGGGGAGAATGGCGGGGACGGTGCGGGGCTGGGGACGGGCCGCGGGAAGGGGCCAGGGAGGTGGCGGGGCGGGGAGGCTTGGCGTTTGGAAAGCCTGGGGCGGGACAGACGCAGGAGTTGTGCGGAGTCTGGGCAGAAATTTGAGGTTTGGGGCAGAAAGGGCTTAAATGGGAGAACGCGATTTTGGCGCGAGAGAGGAGTGGTGTCCCGGAAGTAGGGGTGGAGTTGAGAGTGAAGTCCGAAAGCTGCGTCGGCGGGGGAGGCCAGGAGCGAGCTGGCCTGCAGATGTTGAGGGTGGGGAGCGTTTCCAGGTCGACTTGAGAAGGAGACAGAAGGAAAGAGAAGGGAATTCACCTTGAGATGCGAATCACAGCTGGCCAGAAGCATTCTGTTGAGGCTCAAATTTGGTACAGGGTAGAAGTACTGTCGGGAATCATACGCTTTAGGTGGTCTGCCAGGAAATTGCCTTCTCACTTCAGTGTGTTCCTGTTAAGTTGTCGGAGCTGCTTTTTTTTTCCCCTCGAGCCTACACCCTCACTCCTTTCTTGAGATGTGAAAAAAAGGGGGGGGGAGGCAGAGACCTTAAGTGTACAGTGCGATGAGTTTTTTGATCCTTGAATTCACCTGTGTAATCACCATCCCAAAGCCTACTCTTTTTTTTTTAAACTTTATCTTCCTCTAGCAAACACGTGTAGTTTTGTTGTTTCCCTTAAATTGTACTACTTCAGAAGACACTTGAATACATGTTTTTATTTTGGCGTTGCTCACATGAAGAGTTTTTATTTAATGAAAACTAGAGTTACAATGTGTTTCTGAAAAAGTCAGCTTTCATGTAGGCTATGAAAATAGAAGTGGATAATCCCAAACTAAAGGAACATTTGGGTTTTAAAATGTAGGGATTTGTTGTATGTTTTGCTTTAAGATCCTCATACTTTGGTGCTGAGTATTCAGTTCCCAAAAACTACATTGAAAAATAGATTTGAACAGTCGTACTAACTCCTTATTTAACCAGCCATTCTTGGTCAGTTCTTCAGTGAATATTTAGAAGTGCTCATGAGGCAGGAACGTTACTGAATTTATGATTTTCTTGAGGCGAGTTTATGTGTACTGAATTGTCTGGGAGTTTTGTAGTTTTCTGTAGTTGGAATTGTGTTAGGTAAGTTTTCCAGCACACACACAGTTTGTTTCTAAAACCAAAGTTACCAAAAGGTAGGACTGGAGCACTAATAATACAGAGGAAGCTGTACCTGGAGCTGTTTTGCTTCCAACATTCCTTTAAAATACCTGCAGCACTCATTTTTTCTGTACTTAGGACTGTCAGTGGCATATATGAAAACACAAAGTAATTGTTTCACATTAAACCTTGATTTTATAAAATCCAACTTTTGGGTCTGGAACAAGGTCCTTATCTGTAAAGCTCTTAGATATCAATAGATGAACGTATGAATAAGACATTGCTGTGATAATTTCTTCATGTGAAAACAAAGGAGACCTTCAAAGAGTAATGACTTGCCTTTTACTAGAATGCTAAGATTGGTAGGAAATATGAGAAGAAACTTGGTATGCAAAGAATAAATAGAAGCATTTAGCAAGTTTCACATGGACAGCAGAGAAGAAATTCAGGAATTAAATAATGGGAAATAAAGGAGCTATATATAGGGTTCTCTGGTTTGAGAGAAGACACAAACTGCCAATAGTATTTAGGAGGGAGAAGGGGCCAGGGCTAGCAGCCACCTGTACACTAAATTCCTGGGTGCCATGCAGTAGGCATTACTTGGTATATTCTGATGCCTTGGAAACAATGCAAAAGAAACAGTGGAAAGACTTAAGTGTTGGAGCTTTGGGAATGGAAGGAAATAGTTTTCAGTCTTTGTATCCTGTTGGTTAGTTTATTCATTTGGCTAATGTTTATTGAGCGTTTAGTAAGTGCCAGGCACTGTGCTAGGTGCTGTTAATATAAAGATGATTGGCCTTTCTCCAAGATCTTGATCTAGCTCAAAGACAAATCATTAAATAGGAGTGACAGTAATATAAACTATATGAACTGTCTTGTGTGGGTGTCCTAAAAAATGAGTGGAGGATATAAGAATGTGACAGTGTCAGGCAAGGTGTAGGACATAAGTGGATCATAGAGCCTCCTCCCCCAACTCCTGTCAAAATAAAGGAAATGGGGGTGGGGGAGGAATGGTCTTAAAGTGGAATAATCAGGTGACTGTTGACTTAGAACACAAAGTTCTGTAAATACTTAAGTCATAGAATGACTGGAGAGGTAAATAGAGGCTGAGAATCATGTTAGGGTTGTTGTATATCAATTAAAGAGCGTGGATTTCATCCTAGAAACAGGAAGGATTTTAAGCAGGTAAATGACATGGTGCCTTTTTTGTTTTAATTGTTGTATGGGATGGAAACTAAAGAGGTGGGTACAGAAGTTTACACAGGAGTAGTGAGGTTGGTTGTTGAAAAGGACAAGAGGGACAAATTTAAGAAACATTTAGGGTATGTTAAATGAAATGTAGGACTTCAGGAAAGCTTACAATGTGGCTATGCAACTTATCTACCAGATGTTTCAGTGGTAACAACCAAGTGGCAGGTACTGGTTAAAATGTCAGAAACTATGAATAGTGGATAAGGGAGAGGGAAAGGGGATAAGAGAATTTCAGGGTGCCTCCACTGTGAGGACTAGTTTTGGATATACAGGACTGAGTTTATCCAGAGTTAATAATGTGAGACTGAAGCCTAGCTAAGAGGGGCTTCACTGAATGTCAGTGAAACCTTGAGAGTATATGGAATGACCCAGGGAGAGTGTGGAGAGAGAAGAGTGACTGAAAGAACCTTATGAAATGTCTGTATTTGAAGTTGGGAAGAGGGAGAAAAACCCATGGTAGAAGCAGAAGAATATGATAAGAATGCATAGTGTCAAGTGCACTTGCAAGAAGTCTAGTTAGGTGGAAAAAGACAATAAAATAACCATTGGGTTTAACTAATTAGGAATTATTTGGTAAGATTGGAAACCTTATTGGTTTACCACTTAAAATTCTGAGGTGTTGAATAAATCACCTACCTCTGACCTTGTTTTTTAATCTGTGAAATGGAGTTTATCTGTCTTGCTTATTGTGAAAATTGAAGATAATGTATTTAAAGTATCTGGACGATAGGTGGCATATAATGGACCTCAATACTTAAAATATGGAGCCAGACTGAGCCTTGTGAACTAAGACACGATCTTAAGAGTGGTAATCTTAATTCTTAAAAGGTAGGCCTTTACATTTTTGAACACTGTTGCCCTCAATTTTGAATAGGCAGTTCACATGGTTCAAAATTCAGTTCAAAAGATCTCCCTCTCATCTCCGTGTCCCAGCCGTTCGCCGTGTTCTTCTCACCCCTCCCCTACACCAGTAGCACCATTTTCTTAACTGCTCTTTTGAGATGTCTGCATGCATGTTGTATTAACTGTTGAAAAAATAGCTGATAGTGACTTGCAGCAAATCAGGAAAATGTCAGTGGCATAGTAACTTAACTCTAGCCTGTGATATCCTTAGTTAGAATATCCTCAGTGTTCAACTACATGACAGATTAACAGCCTTCTAGATTAGAGTATCTACACTGAACTGGGATCTATACGAGTGATTCTTAGAAATAGAATATGAGGACAGCTCACTGTGAGAGCAAAGAAGAGCTTTTAGGAACAAATTGAGTATATGGGACCGCATATTTTTGGAGATTAAGGCTCTGACAGAACATTATAAGGCCTAGCTGATGTTACGAATATGTATGTATTTATGTATTTATTATTTTTTGTAGAGACAGAGTCTCACTGTGTTTCCCAGGCTGATCTTGAACTGACCTCAAGTAATCCTTCTACCTCAGCCTTTCAAAGTGCTGGGATTACAGGTGTGAGCCACCATACCCAGCCTATACTTTTTTTTAAAATTCTTCTTCTTCTTTTGTTGTTATTATTATTTTGGTGGTTAATTCTATGCACTTGTCTTTGCTTCTCTCATTTGTCCTGCAGAAACTAGTGTAGGGTGGTATATAAGTGCTTGCTTGAGATCATTAGCTTTGATATTTACCTAGGTTCAGAGAAACAGCTCAGCAACATCCAGTGTGCTTGAGTCCAGAAACTTAAGCTCCTTGTTTTTAGTTTCCTCAGTAAAAATGAGGTACATACCCACTGCATAGAAATAATTATGTGATTTAAATGATGACATGATATGTAAAGCTTTTGGCTCAATATTATTTGTTACCTACACTACACAAGTAAATACTGTTTGCTAATAATTATTATGCGATTCCTAGAAGTAAGCCCTTTGTATTGAGTTCCCACATTTTAAAGATGTTTTTAACTAATGGTGTCAGTCACTCTGTATGGAGTAATACTCTGTTAAGTGCTGGAGTGCTGGAGTCTTGCTGTTTTGTTTTTAATAGTTTCCATTTTAAAGTTATTGTGAGTAGTGTTTTTAAAATACCTGAGAGCATGAAGAAAATGGGACCTAGTATTAATGGACCATTTCCACTTAAAACCTTGAAGATCTTGTTTTAACGCTTTTCATCAGTATCACGTATTATTGGCAGGGGAATGGATATTCATCAGAGGAGCATGAGGAAAAGATTAGAGAAAAGAGCATCATGAGGGTGACAACTACTATAGCAAGGGTTTTAAGGAGTGAATAGACTGTTAGATATTAGATGACATCTATTTTGCAAGACACTAATGACCCACTCAAGAACATTCCAGTGCCTTTTATGAGAGTAGGTGTAATAGTGGTTTTATCATTGATTATGATGATGAATTTGCCATTAGTAAAGATGAATACATGCTTAATTCGGTTGTATATGTGCTCATTGGTTTGCTGAATTAAGTGTTTGGTCAGGGGATAAAATTGAGCTTTCCTTCAGCACTGGTTCTAAAATGTGATTTAAAATTTTTCTGATTACTGAAGTAGCATTTTTAGTTTTACCAAGAAAAACAGCAAAAATTATATTCTTGCTAACACTTGTAGGCAGTTTTGCTCTGGTACCCTGAAGCCTGCCTGTTGAATGGATGAGATGCCTTGCAGTTCCTCCAGGAACAAAGGGAGATAAGCAGCCTTGTGTGAAACCACACTAGGTCATTTTTCATTCTCCAGTGTTTCATTTGCGCATGGGACTTTCCACTTGCCCACCCTTTGGGCTATAAAGTCACTGAGATGTAGTTAGAGTTGACTCCTTAACAACAGAGCAACCCACAGCCTGCCTGTATTGCTTGTTATCTGGGCCCTCTGATTTGGTGTAATCAATGGCAATAGAAGCAGGGAGCTGACACCATTCTGATTTGACTTTTGCTGTAAGTAAATTTATTTGGCTCATTTTCTCCTTACTGACCAAATCTGTGAATGAGGCACTGTAGCCATTGTGCTTTTGCCTAGGGATGGGCTTAGCTGTCAGAAAAATAACCCTGAGTATCAGGTCTTTTTTCCTAAGTTAAGATGGCAACTTTCTACTCCTAGGGCCTTCTTTCTACTTTGTGTGGAGTTTTAATTGGAACTGTGTTACATTATCTTTTTTTTTTTAATAGTACTATAATCCACTTAGCATTGCTAATTAAAAGTCACATTGTACAGTACTGGTTTTGAAATTTTAAATATTAAGTTTCTTCTTAGGTTTTTCTACATTTACTAATTTCAGAAGAACCAACTAGCAAGAGTGAGTATATATATACATTTTAAACTATTATGAAAAATTTACATATACACAAAGGTAGATGATGATGATGATTTTTATCATCATTCTTGTATACCCATTATCCAGATTCAATATTAGTCAGCCTTGTTTCATTTATTAGTTCTCTTTCCCTTTGGATGAAGTAGAGAAACAACATTTTATATTGAAATGTAGTTTAATTTCTGTTGAAATTGTTGTCTGATTTCCTTTTATGTGTTCTTGGTGATTTGATTTTTTATTTTTGTAGTGGGAAGGATATCTGCTTTCATACTGAGCTGCTGTAGATAAAGCCTTATTGAAACCACTCTTGTACTGTATTTAATTGGAAGTTAAGGAAAAGGGGCATAGTAAGTCTTAGGCTTTCATATCTTTTTTAAAACTTAGTTTTGGGAGGGGAAAGGGAAGTATTTAAGAAACAAACAACAGATTCCTGAGAATGAGTATTGCAAACATCTAGGCCCTTAAAGGAAAATACACTTTCTCAAGTACCTACTGTCTCCTTGACAGAAGAGTGTAGAAACTGAAATGCATCAAACTGTTTAAGACACATTGATGTTAGTGTGTTATCACTGTGAATAAGTAACAGGAATTTGAGAACCCTTGGGTGAGAATTGAATCATCCCCAAGAATAGAGTTGAGTTGAAGTGGACTGGGGTGTTAAAAGGTTACTTAGAAGCTGTAAAGTCTTTACTAAACATATAAATTAAATGACTCTCATATGTATGTCAAATGAGTCATCAAAAGATAAAGCTTGCAGATTTTATTTAATTTTCAGGGTTGTGAGAAAGTTGGAACATGAGTTGGCTTCTTAAGATTTAGATATACTGGAAGAGCCTCAGACTTTATTCATTCTGCACAAATTATTGTCTCAGAGTGCTATTTAGTAGAAGTAATATGAACAATAAATGCAATATAGAACTTTCTAGTAGTCATGTTAGAAACCAGTGAAATTAATTTTAGTATATAGTTTATGCAAAATATCATTTTTAACACACCAAAACAGGAGATCATCACTTATATTCTTTTTCTTCATACTAATTTTCAATTAGTGGCTATCTCTGAACATCATTGGTATAAAATGTGCAGGATTTCCACAGTGGTGCCTTGATAAATGTCAGTAATTTCAGTACAAAATTTTATTTTGAGTAAATTGGTTTATAATATCAAAATGGGATTGGAGTAATTAAAACTGTAGTAGCATGCTTTGTTGAACTTTTTCTGGTAATAAAAATATTCTTTTACCCACTTTCCCATTTCTAGAGGAGGTTTTAATTGAAAATTAACAAAAGGAAGAAAAAACAGTGAGGAACTATGAAGCTCTTACATCATTTCAAAACTTAAGTTGGTCATATTTTCAGTAAAAACTCTGCACTTATTGCTCCAGCAGTCTGAATCTCTTCGATCCGTTTATTCTCTTTTTGCTTAGTGGGAAATGAATTTAGCCAGTCTCAGTTGCCTGCTACATAATTTCTCCTTACTTCTCGTTAGCTCAGCCCCAGACCAAAAGAAAATGAACAAATCCATATATTTTGACAGCGTGTCCTCTGATTATAAAGTCAATAACAGAAGTAGATTTTCTGTTTCAGATTAATCATTTCTAAATTAGAACTTATGAATTAGGCTCTTTGTATATACCTGCCTTCCTGTATTCAGAATATGATAAAGGAGAAAAAGATTTTATATTCATTTGAATTTCTGTATCAGTTAACATCTTGGTATCTGCCATTTCCTTAAATGTGACATGAAAATGAATTCTAAAAATCACTGAATAATATCAGGCTCAATGGCTTGATAGACTTAAAACTAGTTTTGTTTAAACAGAGAGTTTTAAAAATAAACGTCTAACTCATTTTTTCCTCTTTGTTTGCTAGACGACAGCAGGAAATAGAAGAAAAACTCATCGAGGAAGAAACAGCACGAAGAGTGGAAGAATTGGTGGCAAAAAGGGTGGAGGAAGAACTGGAGAAAAGGAAGGATGAAATTGAACGAGAAGTTCTCCGAAGGGTGGAGGAAGCCAAGCGCATCATGGAAAAGCAGTTGCTCGAAGAACTCGAGCGACAGAGACAAGCTGAGCTTGCAGCACAAAAAGCTAGAGAGGTAACGCTCGGTCGTTTGGAAAGTAGAGACAGTCCATGGCAAAACTTTCAGTGTTGGGTTCTGCCTCCTGCTCAGTTCAGAAAGAGATGGAATACAGACTATCTAATTCCTTTCTCGTCTAAACTTAACATTGCTGCGAAAGTTAATTTTTTAGCCTATTCAGAAGTGCTGACTGATAACTTAAAAGTTGGAAGCTTTTATAAAACATATTCAAGGATACTTTTTGATTTAATGGAACTGGCTGTCTATTTGAGAAGTGTTTGAAACTTTTGCCATGGCTGCAGGACTTACATTCTTTCTTGGGAGGACGGTGGGGAGACAGGGAGTGGTAAAGGGAAAAGGTTAAAAATCCACCTGTGGATGTATATTCTTCTATTCTGTCACTCTGTTACCTAGACTGTGAGAGGCTTTTGCCTTCAGTCAGATTAAAAAGAGCAGGGCCTAACATTGAGTGATAGCACCTGCTTTGATAAATAGGTTTTCTCACTCTTCTTTTTTTCCTTCTTTTATCCCTCACTCCCTCCCCTAAATCCTGCTTCAGCACAATGGACTAATTCTAGCATTCTGATCATAAGGCCCTCCATTTTCCTAATGTGTTTCAAGGAATCTTTTGAGGAAAAATATCCAGATTATTCATCCACTTTTTTTAGTATCTACTAACAACTCCTTTTTTTCTCTAGAGAGTTATGAAGGAACAGGTTGTCCTTGTCTGGAGTCAAGCTAAACACATGATTTGTTTTATCAGCAGCTGGAGCAGAAGTTGAAAATGTCTTTCTGTGAGACAGTAATTTGCTACTGAAGCTTTATAGCTTGTTTGCACTGATTACTCCAGGATCCAAAAACTTGGTGAAAGTCACTGAAACACTCAAGGCAAATTACTTTACACCCCTGAGTGTCTATCACCATGGTTTGCATAATGAATATGAATTCCATTGGTGTGTGACATAGGAAATCCTGTAGTTGTATTTTCTTGAACTGAAATATTTGACTCAAAATAATGATGACTCATGGTCATTTTTCATCTTTGCATTATGGACAATTGACATACTAAATCTCTTTGCTTTCTGATAAGCTTAGCTTTTAAAACGCATTTTCCTTTGTCCTGTCTTTAACTAGATATACATGCTTATATTTATAGCGGGTTTCACGGACTATAAAAATGAATGTATGAAATTTTTATTTATAACAGTGCTTTTAACGAAGATTTTTTGGAGTAATGGTGCTGTCTTGTAGCGAGTTATTAATCATAGTAAGATTTTTTTCTCTTCATTTGCTTTTTTGTTTCATATTAACAATTTTTTTTTTACACGGACACAACCCTCTGACAGTCTTTCCAAATATTAAAATCATTTGAATATGTATGCTGTGATCTGAACACTGCCCAAACCATCAAGCAGTCTTCATACAGTTTGCATTATAAAATCTCATTAAATTCTCCAAGAAAAAATAAGTTGAAGAATTTTATTTCCTGACCATGCATCCCCTGGATTTCTGAGTTTCAGTTCAGATTGTAGATGACAATATAAGCTGCCTTCCGAAATTGTCAACATCTGAATGTTAAGTCCATTTTCCCCATGGAAGAAGCCCGTAGTTCCATGAAGTATGGATTACCATTTGTATTTTTCACTAACAGTAAATGTATTTTTCTTATTAATTGTTTGCCTTAGGAATGATGAATTACATTTTTTGTTCCTTCTTACCATAAACATCTGCATTCCTCAGCTCAGCCTTCCTTGTATGTTGTTTCTTTATAAATGGTTGAGCTGCTGATGCAGGTATTGCCAAGCTAACAGTACAAATCATTTTAAAGAGGAAGCTGGCGCGTATGGCAGCCGAGGAGCACACTCTGCAGGACACTGGACAAGACAGTAAATATTCAACTTTTAATGCTGATTAAAGGAGTATAGGTAAAGAATACGTAGGTATACATAATTGGTGAGACAAATATTCACTTTATTTATATTTTATATATTATTTTTTTAATTTGGTAAATACTATCCAGTTTTGTAGTTGTCCTTGTTGATTTGTGTGATATTAAAGTATTAGTAATAATTGCCAGGAAACTATCATTAGGGAGGGTTTAGTTGGTTGCTGTTTGGACTGGGAGGGATGATTTAAATTTAGTGCTAGAAACCAATTTTAGTGGCTGCACAGTTTATCATTTATCAGACAGAAGGTAGCTATAAAGCTACCCCGTAAGTCATATCAAAAAAGTTCAGAGGAAGATTAGTAAATATTTATCAGTAAAAATAAACATTTTGTTTTTCTAACATCTTAACATATCCTCCCCTTTAGGAGGAAGAACGTGCAAAACGTGAGGAACTAGAGCGAATACTGGAAGAGAATAACCGAAAAATTGCAGAAGCACAAGCCAAACTGGTAAGTATAAAGCGTATATGAAGAGTGTTTTGTATTTTGCTTTATTTTTTTCAGATTTTGTGGGTTGATTTTTGCGCTCTGTAATTTGACTTATTTTGAGGCGATTCTCTGGACTAACTTTAAAGGCTTTTTGAGGCAACGTTAGGAATAATTGAGTAGATTTTTACTTCCAGTCTGGACAGAAATCCAAAATTTGCAGTGATTTTAAAAAACAGGTTTTCTGGGGAAATTGTTTTGTTCTCTATCCCCAGTTTTTTCTTTCCTAACCTCATTCACATTTCTCCTATGCCAAAAAAACTAATAGAAACAACAACAAAAGCTTGAAGGTGTATTTAAATCATATTCGTTGGCTTGTTACCAGGAGTGGATAGTACATTTTGATAGTGAGTGCACCAGAATAATTTCCTATCCCTACTTTGTAATCTGTCAAGAAATACAACAGAGTGTTTGGTAATACATAATATAGAAAGTTGGGGAAAAAGCAAGTTGTAAGCTCCAATTACATGGTATAAAGAAATTTTGTGGTTATAAATGCACAGAAAAACATCTGAGAGGGTCTAATTAGTTAACAGTGGACCCCATTGAGAGTGGTGGTGAAGGGGTACCATAAATAATAGGAATGTAAAAAGTTAATGTGGGACAGTCGTTTCTAGAGTATCATCTTCTGAAAGATAGTGCACTCCAGGTAACAGATAATGCTAGAAATATTCCAGATAACTTAGTGAGCATGGCACAATGGATTCTTGGTAAATATCACCTGGTGTTTGTGGAGACCATAATGAAATCTATTGGAAAGCTCTAATCTGCTTTTCCAAAGAAAATCTTAAAATTTGCTAAGGTGGCAAAAGCAATAGGAATGTGAAATGGATGAATCATTATAAGTTATATTACTACATGCTTATGAATAAGTATCTGATAATTTTTTTTGTTTTGTTAGTGATTTTATGTAAGGAGAGAATCTCAGTGCAGATAGGAAAAAGAGGAAAAGTATGAATCTGAATTTGAGATTAGAAGGTTGAGCTTCGAAGGGTAAATACACTCTTTTTTGTGAGGCATGGATGTTTCAGAAGAGAGGAAAAAAGTATGACAGTTAAATCATTGAAGCAAAATTACTGACCAGATAGAACTATACCTCCTTTTAGGACATGTTAAAGAGATAGTTCTGGTGGCTTCAGTTTGTGGGTGGCCTGGAAGCTTAGTGTGCCTTGCCAAGATCTTGAACCCTTCTGACCCTGTGGTAGCTAGGGATGGCTTGACCTTCTTACATTATCCTTAAAGTCTTCGATTTGCCCCCATGAAAATAAAAGTAAGACTTTCGGTGTGTGATTACTGGAAAAAATATTGGTAATCATAATCTGATACTTCTCAAATGGTAGTAAATGGCCAGTTTTTATTTTTTAATCCCAGTTTGTTTCAGATTTCTACTTTTGCAAAATACAGTTAAGACTTATTATTGATCTGTCCTGATTGGGGATTGATTAGTTTGTAGATCGTAAGTGGTCTATGGGCCATGCTTAACATTAGCATTCTTCTATATCACACAGATTTAGATTTGATCAGAGTGACAACTTTTTGTTTTGTTTGTTTTTGAGACAGAGTTTCACTCTTGTTGCCCAGGTTGGAGTGCAGTGGTGCGATCTCAGCTCATTGCAACCTCCGCCTCCTGGATTCAGCGATTCTCCTCCCTCAGCCTCTCTAGTAGCTAAGATTATACGTGCCTCCCACCATGCCTGGCTAATTTTTCTATTTTAGTAGAGACGGGTTTTACCATGTGGGTCAGGCTGGTCTTGAACTACTGACTTCATGTGTTCCACCCATCTCGGCCTCCTGAAGTGCTGGGTATGTGCCACCGCTCCCTGCCCAGAGTGACTATTCTGATGGCATGTCTTTGATAAACTTAAGTAAAAACATAATCTGAGGGAAAAAGAGGCTTGGATTTGAAAAAGTTGAGTAAGAATTTGAACATACTTAACACATCTGCTTACAGTGTTCGATAGAGTTGGAAGCATAAGAAATTGATGCTACTGGAGAAAAGTGTTTATGTGGTTCTATTGGTAGTCCTATGCTGACAGGGAAAGTAGGATATTAGTTGTGTCGGAGGAGACAAAAAATGTGTAAAGATGGCAAGGTACATACACATTGAGGCCCACTTGCACTTTTATTGCCTTTTTCCCTCCCCTTCCTCTCAATTTTGAGCTCTATTCTTTAATCTCTATGTATGTTTATTGGGAAGTATTATATAAAATATATTCAAAGTCCTATTAAAGTATTGCTTGTAATGTGGGCAGGTCATTGTTTTTGATACCATTTAAAGCAAGAAGAATGGGAAGGATTCTGGTCTCTAGAAAATGATCAATGAGGAAATATGATCAAAGGTGTAACTGTTTTCTAAAATCTATGTTGAGAAAAGCAACTTGATGAAAAAATTAGACAAGCCATTAAATGCTTTTAAATAATTTAACATATTTTGGAAATGAGAACAACTCCAAAAAGGTTACTAATACTATGGAAGTATTTGGTAAGTGGTATAGGTAATGAGAGATAATGACATAATTGCTCTGGGTGGCCTGGGTAACCTTCCTCGAAGGGGTAGTCCCTTGAACTGGGCCCTGATGGATAGTTGGAAATTGAATTAGGAGGCGGACAAGAGTGTGAGGAAATGAAACACGGCAAAGGCCTTTGGGGAAGTAGAATAAAACAAAGGCAAGGGCATGAGATATTGGGAAAAGTAGTTAAGTAGTAGTTATCCAACCTTACATGTGGTAAGAAGTTTGTGTGGAAAGAGGATTTCAGAAAAGACACGTTAATAATTAAAATGCCCTGAAAGTGGTGAGGGAGATTTCTTAAACATTTTAACTGTGAAAAAATAATACAATGATCCTACAGATTAGTAAAGAAGACTAATTTCTTAATTGAAAATGAGATTTATACACAAGTAGGATGAGAAGCAGCTACAATACATTTCTGAAAATTATCTCAAATTCATTCGAGAGGCAAATTTCCCCTTCTTGTCTTTTTCCATAACAGAACTCCCCCAAAGCCATTGTTTTCCCACAGTGATACAAAGAGACCTCTTTACATGATAATCATGGGAGTTTAAACGGGTATAACAGTTTCAGAAAATAACAGTAAATCAGTAAATATAAAAAACTTTAATTTTGCATCTAAGAATTTGTCTCATGAAATAGAATCATATGCAAATGAATTTACATACAAAGATATACTAAGATTATTTAAAATAGAAGTGTCCATGTTGTTGGATTTATTATTATTATACAGTGGATTTTTCTGTGGCCAAAAAATATTTGCTAATTCAGGGGAATACAAAATAGGAGGTAGCTAAATACAAAATTTATATATCCAATGTGATCCTGTTATTTGGGGAAACGTACTTGCACATCTTAAGAGACAGAAAAATAACCCAAATGCTAAAAATAGTTATCTCTAATTGGTAGGCTTATGTGTAACTTTATACTTTTCTTCAGTTTCTCCATGTTCTGCAAGTAATGTATATCATTTTTATGATCACATAATAGTAAAGAAATAAAATTTAAGCCATACTTTTGACTTTTAAGTAGGCTTTTGTGACAGAAGTTCACAGATTGAACCCTGTAATAACTAATAAGGAATGTGTTAGCCTGGCCACATGAGCTCACCCATATATGAAAATTATTAAGTGCTGTAGTCCGTGGGTAGTTAGTTTTTTTTTTTTTTTTTCCTCAGTTCCACATTGTGTACCAAGATATTTCATTTATCAGCAGAGACAAAAAACATCCCAACCAACAAACATACTTTATTTACAAAGATAAAGCATCCAAGTATGACTTGTCATGGCTTTTTGGCAGATTGTTCCTTGTTCTTGAGTTAGTGTTGGCAACATATAACTATCTTCAGGTATTCGAAGGGCTGTTAATACAATGGAAAATTTTAATCTTACTTTGTTAAAAATAGTGCTTAAAATTTTTTGAAGTCTTCTTCATCGTGTTTTTATGATGTGCCTGGGAAGATCTCAGATACTGTTCTGAAAGGTATATGAATTTTACTTTTTTCGAGAGGGAAGCAGACTTAAAAATTGGGAATAGATTTTGCTGTAGAATAAAATACTCTTCCAGAAGGTTGTGTCAGCAGGATGAACAAACCTTCAGTCGATTCCCTTGTCAAGATGGTAAAATATAAACAATGCAAATTATAAGTAACATTGGTCAAAGGAAGAACAAATTACTTTTGATGAGAGACGGGGGTGTTCTTTGGGGTTTTAAAGCATATACAAGTTATCAATTTCTAGATTTACAGATCTCTTTACTAATGAAATAATATCTTTGTCACCCCCTGCCAAATTCATCATGGTAAATACCACTCTGTGTCTCACCAGTTTGAAAGAGGAAAAAAATAATGCCTTGTTTGAAAGTTGCTTATGTATCACATATGTAAGTTTAAAATAAACCAGAGCTTGCTTTACAATAGAGAGATGGCTCTAGGAGTTCTTAGAAAAATGTAAGCAGGGATTTATTTTAAATAAGTTTGTATGTTAGGCTGAAAAATGCCTTCTGTCCTCCCTCCATATAAAATAATCTATATTCCAATGCCTAGAGTTTGAATGTACCCATATATGACAAGCAGGGCAGGGCTTTTGTAGATGCGATTAAGTATCTTTTTTTTTGGAGTCGGGGTTTCGCTCTTGTTACCCAAGCTGGAGTGCAATGGCACGGTCTCGGCTCACCGCAACCTCCGCCTCCTGGGTTCAAGCAATTCTCCTGCCTCAGCCTCCTGAGTAGCTGAGATTACAGGCACGCGCCACCATGCCCAGCTAATTTTTTATATTTTTAGTAGAGACGGGGTTTCACCATGTTGACCAGGATGGTCTCGATCTCTTGACCTCGTGATCCACCTGCCTCCGCCTCCCAAAGTGCTGGGATTACAGGCGTGAGCCACCACACCCGGCCGCGATTAAGTATCTTGCAGTGGGGAGTTTATTTTGGATGACCTGGTGGGCCCTAAAT